CCAAATGCATCCAATTTTGCTGTGCTTTTGTTGTAAGGAAACTGTCCGTCCGGCCGTTTATGGGCCCTTTCGGAGCCTTTAGGCTTCTTCGGCATGGGACATGGGACATGGTCCTATGCCTCCCCCTCCCCCTCTCTCCGACCCTCTGCGTCCGCCACCGGCCCGAGCAGCTGAATAAATGGGCCCGCTAACAACATAAGGCCATCCATTCAAATAAGAAATACTCACGACGCAATGTGCAGGGCTCTGAACGATCGAGTGCGCCAGGACAGGTTAACACATAGGGCCCCCGTCAAGAGCTTGTGGCCCTCCATTCAAATAGAAAGAATTCAAGACCCAATACAGAGGACCCTCGAATGATCCAGTGCAACAGAGCAAGTAAACATATAGGGCCCGGTCAAAAGCGTAGGGCCCTCCATTCATCTAGGAAACACCAAAGACCCAATGTAGAGGGCCCCCGAATGATCGAGTGTGCCCGAGCAGGTTAACGAATAGGGCCGCCAACAAGAGCGTAAGGCACCCCATTCCAATGGGAAGCACTGAAGATCCTAAGTAAATGGCCCCAGAATGATTGAATGTGTCCGAGTAGCGTAACAGGAGCCCGACAAGAGCGCAGGGGCCTTCATTCAATTAAGAAGTACTCAAAACCCAGTGCTGAGGGCCCCGAAACATGGAGTATACCCGAGCAGATTATCAGGTGACCCAGAAATTCAAACGCCAAGACACAGTATATAGGGCCCCCGAACAATCCAGTGTGGCCGAAGCGACGAACAGATGGAGTCCCCGACAAGTGTGTAGGTCCCTCCATTCAGATCGGAAGTACCCAAGACACAACGGGAGGGCCCGCGGATATTCGAGTGCCCGGGCAGGTTAACAGATGGGGCTCCGGCAAGAGCGTAGGGCCTTCCGTTCAAGAGGGAATTACCCACGGCACCATGTAGAAAGCCCCGAATAACCGCTTGCGCCAGAGCAGGTCAACAGATAGGGCCCTCGAAAAGAGCGGAGGGCACTCCATTGGAAAAGGAAGTACCCAAAACCAGACGTGGAGGTCCCCCACGATCGAATGGGCCCGAGCAACTTATCAGATGGGGGCCCGACAGCAGCTTAAGGCCCTCCATTTAAATGAGAAGTACCTAAAACGTCATGCGGAGGGCCCTGAAAAATGAAGTGTACCCGAACAGTTTATCAGATGACCCCGACACGGGCAGAGAGCCCTAAATACAAACATCGAGGACCAATGTGCAGGGCCCACCAGCAATCTAGTGTGGCCGAGGAGGCGAACAGGGGGCCGCCTACAAGTTCGTAGGGTCCCATTCAAATAGCACTTGTCCAAGGCCCAATATAGAGGGCCCCCGAACGATCGAATGTGCCTGAGCAGGTTATCAGATAGCCCCCCTCCCCCCGCCCCAGAAACGTAGGCTCCCCATTTAGAAAAGAAGTACCAAAAAGCCCAGTATAGACGGTCCCCGAACAACTGAGTGAGCACAAGCAGGCCATTAGATGGGCCCCCGACAAGAGTGTAGGGCCCCTAAGCAAGTGACAGAGAATTGGAAAACGCCCCTAGACAATGTAGAGGACCCATGGGCCATATCGCAAGTGTGTCGGTAGGTAACCAATACCCGCGTAAAGGGCTACTGAGCAACCGAGGATACCCCGCAGGTTAACGTAGGGATTTTGGCTACCGCTAACAGAGCCTTTCCGGCGAATGGAAATAATCTGTGAAGGACCCTTGACTGACAGAGTTCCCCGGCACGCTAACAGGAAGGGCCCCAACAACGTCGCGGGGCCCTCTGAGCAAATGCAAAGCAATGAAGGACAACGTGGAATGCTCCTAAACGACTGAAATGAATCTGCAAGGGGCATATAGGTCCCCCGGAAAACAGCATGGGCCCTAGCCGGTGTCATGGGTCCCAAAATTTCCAGTCACAAGTTTTCCAATCATTGAGTAACTTTTGGGACTTCTCATAAGCCCTCCACTTTCGCTTACAACTGTTCTTGGTGGCCTAAAAGTCCAGAGACACCCATTTTTGTTGCGTTTGTGTTGAAAAATATTGCGCCCTTTTCGGCCGTCTATGGGCCCCCCCGGAGCCAATGGGCCCCTTCGGGGCCCCAGGGGGAGGGGCATTGCCCGGTCCCCCCCTCTCTGGATCCACCCATGCTTGTAACCGTACGTTTTGCGGGGATGCCTTTTGTTATTTTCCACGTTTTTGCCCCTGGCCCCGAACTCGGCTTGCCCTTGTGTCGGACTGTCGTGGGGAGAAAGTGATTGATCCTAAGCCTGAAGTGCCATTCAGGTGACCACGACGAAATCTCAAATGGGAGCCCCATAAATCCGATATGGGACCCGAAGGGCTGGCTAAAGGCCACTGAGGGGGCGCGGGTCGGACATTCAAATACCAGCCAGAGGGCCGTTGCACTGATTAGGCCCCGGCCTGGGCCTGGGAGTCCATTCCCCAAGCAGGGACAAGGTCAGGACCCGCGATTTACATTGGCCAGTGCACCCCGAGACAATGAGGGGCCCCTGTGTCGGCCGGGGGCATACAGCGCCTAACCGGAAGTACGGTGTTGACAAGGGCCGCCGAGTTGGTCAGGAAGTGTGCAAGGGTGCCCGAAGATGGACCAACGTGCCCTTCAAAACTGACAATGAACGGGCCGATGGGAAGGCTGATTGGCCGTAGGGGTCGAAAGACTGCAGGTCATCCTGGCCCGTATGGCTGTGGTCCCAAATGTCAGCCAATAGCTTTTTCGCCGATTGTGGACCCCTGGGACAAAGCAAGGACCTATTTTGGCCGGAAACCACTACGCCGAATACTTGACTCCATGTTGTTCTGAGCCCTGGGGCCCCATTTCTCTAGCAGGAAGGAGACCGAGGCCCGCGATTTGCATTGGTCGGAGTCCCTACAACAATGAGTGGTCTTTGACGGTCAGGCCCCCAGAGTGTCCAACAGGGGGAACAGAGTGTCCTGTGACGGAAGGAGTCCCGAGTCGGCCAGAGGTGACCCGGGGCCCTTGCGGGGCTCTTCACTCAATTTTAGTCAAGGGTCCGTTAGCTAAACATGGGTCTCTGTGCCAGTTATTGGATCACCTGCGGTTATCAGAGGCATTGTTGCCCCAATGAAAACTCTTGCGCTATTCCAGGTCAACTGTCTCGGCCAGAAGGCGCCAAAGGGCCTTCCGCGCCAGGGAGGGCACCAGTGTAGGACGTACATCTGTGAGGACATCCGGACGAACTCATCAGGCGAACCCGCCTCCATGTCGCCAGAATGGCAGCTAGTAGACACCCCGGGCTGGAACGGAATGATCTTTAAGCCGGAAGGGTCGTATGCACCTAAGTTTTCACTGATGTTTACACATTTTACACATTACATTACACATAGTGTTTATACATTACACATTTCCAATTAATGTTTCACAAGTTGCTGGCCTCATTTAGATTTACGGTCAACCTTCACGGGATATCATTATCTCTATCTCCCTCCATCAGGAGGGACGGAGTCCTCTTCATCTTTAGTCCTCCCTCTGCCATTAGAAACTAGGCTGCTGTCCGGTATGAAAAGTCCAAATTAAAATTCATCCCGCTTAGGAGTGAAGAGAGTTGGCATCATTATTCCACGCCGAGAGACCATGATGCCCCCAGTTAACAGCGGCCGCCATGGAGATTCGAGCCCGGGCTTACCGCGCGCGAGACTAGCATGCTAACCACCCATCCACCGGAGATGCGGGCCCGGCGGCCAAAAATTTGTGATCAGAATAGGACTGGTTCATAATGAGTTGATGTATTTCGTGATCGTTTGATGCCTTTCACGCATAGAGCCGATTTTTCGCACGGGATTCTGCATATTTGCACTTACTTTCTCTTTAAGGTTGGCAATCCGCGTATGCTTGACTCGCATAACCATCTGAAAGGTTTTTGGAGGGTGCATAAGCCCGGTGCGTAGCCACCCTCCACTTTGGAGGGTGTATAAGCCCGGTGCGTAATCACCCTCTGTTTTAAAGGGTGTATAAGCCCGGTGCGTAACCGCCCTCCGTTTTGGAGGGTGTACACGCGCAGTCTAAACTATACACCAGTGGATTCCGCGGGGCCAGTTTACTGCTGGGTTTTCAGTTTCATGTCTGAGTTCGAAGTCGAAGGTCGTGAACTGGCCCAATGTATCCATGGCGTTTGCTGATCATTCCATTCTCAGAAAATGGCGGACTAAGCTCTCCAAAACCTTCACCAATAGACTTGCCGTATGCTATTTACTGCAGATTAATAAATTTTGGTGGTCTTAAGCCAAGCTACAGGCAAAAACAAAAAAATCAGAACGCAAAATTTCGTGCCTTTGGCGCCCTATTGCTGAGAGAGTGTAACACTGATGACATTGAAACATGTTTCAGGGGCATAGTTAGTGCATTAACTTCCAATTTGAAATGCGCGATTATCCCTGTTCTATCGAAATGTAGAACTTTGGTCAGCTTACAGATAAAATAATTGCTTTAACGTGGTATTGCAGCTTAAAAACAATCTCATGCCAGGAAACTAACCGGCATATTTCCACGATAATTTTGCCAATGATACAAAGTTTGCGATTTGATCTGTCACTAGTGATCTCAGATAATGCCACCGGTCACCATGGTGTTAACGGACAGCCCTTGCTTGGAAGATACGCGGCGATTTTCTCAAAGTTTTCACAAATTGCATCCAAATGGGAGATTTACTCCAAACTTTTGGGTTTCATGACTGGTCAGTAAGCTGCTAAGATATCATATTTGCTTTTGCACACTTTCCCCCTCTCGGAAACTAGAGTGCATTGTCTTGTCTCATTCAGATAAGTATTCAAGAGCATGGGCTGCCAACACCCCGTGTTGGCAAAGAAGAGTCAACCGCGTGTTGCGGGCTAAAGAAAGCTACGCGTTGGCTTGGGACTACCGATCCTTCTACGTCACAGCACAATACACGTC